TATACCTAAATTGTTGTAAACCGCTCTGAGTCGCCTAAGGGCTGAGAAGAGCGGTATACAAATAAAGTAAAATAAATAAAGAAATAAATAAATTTCTGGCTGTTCCTGGACTTTCTCATCACTGGAAGGTTATTAGACAATTTTGGATTATATATCTTCCTTTCTTATTCCTGGTTTTATATGTTTTTACAAGTGTTTACAATAAACTGTTTGCTTATATTCCTGGACTCTTGTGTGGTGCGGTGGTCATCGGTATTTCCTCGTTTGGAGTGCAACACAGATTTCTTTAGTCATAGAAAAATAATGCTGCCTACTGGGCCACAGAGGTGTTAGGACTACTAACAGGAACTCTCTTATCCGTCTATTTATACATCTCTTATCAGCGTATTTATATATCTTTTATTAGCCTATTTATACATCTTATCAGCCTATTTATACATCTCTTATCAGTCTATTTATACATCTTATTGTTTCCACATCTTGTTCATTGTGTTACATCTTCTGGAGAAAAGTGATTATAAATCTGCAAAGTTAAACAGATAGTTGCACAAGCATTCCCAACTCAAACAAGCCTACCTAGAGAAGCCGCGTGTAATAGGCAGTTTCCATCACCCGTTGTTGCCAATGGGAGCAGCCGTTTACAGCTCGTACATACAGTAGACCACCAGTTCAGACGACCTGGAAAAAGCAAAAACATGGTATCTGTATCAGCCTGTGATTGTGTCTGATGTTCATGTTGATATTCATGATGAGAACAGGGATGATGTTCATGTTGATATTCATGAAAGGAGCGGGAATGTTGATCCAGTTCCTGGGCCAGGTTCTGTTGGATTTGGGAATGAGGGGTTGCTTGGGCCTGAATGGAGTTTACAAGAGAGGCCAGAGTTGCTGAAAGAAGATTCCCTGAGCAGCAATCTGAGAATGAAGCTGATTTTGATGAACCAGGTGCAGGTATTAATGATAAGAGTGAGACCTTGAACAGAAAAATAAATTTTAGTAAACAGAGGCAGTTCGGGCAGCACTTAAGATGCTCAGCTCGGATTCAATAGGCCTGGTTAGGTTTGGTTGGAATCTTCGTAATTCAGAATAAATTTGGAAAGATTTGCTTTTTGAAGCGATTTCGAAGTTTTTAAGGAAACCGGAAGTCCCTTTGCCTTTCTGAAGCTTTTTCCGCCATTTCTCTTATGAAGTAGTAAGTGCATTGGAAATTATTCAGTTTTTCCCCACTTCTGGTTCCTGGCCTCGGCTCAAGCCAGAGAAGCCATTTTAAACCAGAGTGGATGAATTTCCTGCCTTTCCTCTCCCCTCACTTCTGGTCTCAAGCCTGGAAAGCGTTTTAAACCAGACTGGATGGATTTCTTGCCTTTCCTCTCTCCTTGCTTCTGGTCTCAAGCCTGGGAAGAGTTTTAAACTAGACTGGATGGATTTCCTGCCTTTGCTCCCCCCTCCCCCCTTTCTGGACTAAAACAACTACTTTCAAAGTAAAGGCCACCCAATGAAACAGGAAATAACACGTTCACTCCATTCGGAAGTCTCGGAAGTTTTGAAAAGTTTTGAACATTTTTTCTGTGAAAATTGGAATTGACTTCCAAATCAAACCACCAGCGCCCCCTACATCTGAAATGAGTTTGAACCAAATTTTTGGATCAAACAAGCCTAATAGATAATAAACCAAAACTAAGAAAGAATGTGTTCCTTGTAGTTTTGGAATCAGGGAAGAGTTTATAATGATTTGTGGGAGATAACTGCTTCAGTTGAGGCAATGTTGGGATAATGTACCAAGGTCTGTCCCATGTACCATGTTCCATGTTCCATGTTCCATGTACCATGTTCCATGTACCAAGGTCTGTCGAACTCATGTTTTGCCTATGGGATATGCTTTCTGTCTTGCTCATGGATTCAAGTGCCCAGTTTCATGGGTTTCCTTTGACTCTTTGTTCCTGTCTTCCTTTGTATCTGATGGGACTAAATTGGATTACTTTTACTGTGGATTACTTTTTACTGCTTTAGCTACATATATTGTTAAATAAACTGCTTGCTGATTTTACCAGCTGGTGTGGTGTTTAAAATCAGAGGTGCTTCTGCTCCATCTTAAAGCAAAAGATGCATTTCAGCAGTTCAGAACTGTCCCAGGTTCTCCTTGCATAAAGAGTCTTCTTTATACATAAAAATGATTCCTAGGACTAACAGGAATGGGGAATGCAGAGGTGTTGCTAACAGTACCCGAGGCTATGGCTTGCTGAGATTCGGCTGAGGCAGAAGAACAACATCTGCAAACTTCTAAATGAGAGCATTATATAAATGCCTTTTAATCTCTTATTCGGTCTAATTAAATTATTTAGATATTCTACTGCTGAAATGTTTTGCAAAAACTGCAAAAGCATACAAATTTTCTTTCTGAACAGAACAAGATACTTTGGGTTTCCAAAAGCTGCAAGGTTAATAAAAATGAGAGCAGTTCAATATGAGTTCTTAACATTTGCGACTCTCGTGATACATAGTCCACTGAGCATGAACTGTCAATGAACATGCTTCCATTCAGCAATCACAGCCAAGAGTCATTGAATCTCTTTACTAGTCTGAAGTGGAGCAAGTCATGGTTCAACCTTGCAATCCTGCAACACCCTCAATAACATACAAAAACTAAGGTTGCTTACTTGTAACTATTTCTTTGAATGGTCATCTGTGAAATTCACACCTGTGGTATTTCCTGCATCCACGCACCTGTTCAGACTCTCTTGCAAACTTGTTCAATTAAGGGACTCCCACCCCGCCCATCCCCACCAATAATACAATGAGACAGTGGAACCTGGGTCCTCAGTTCCTGTGCCGCAAAGCAGCAGCCATGAATCAAGGCATGGCAGAATGCGGGGAGGATGAGCGAGAAATACGCACGTGTGGTAGACTAGCAAGCTGTCCCACAGACAGTAGGCATCATGACTGTGCAGAAAACAGGACTGCTCTCCCAAAAGCTACATCCTTCTTGGCAGATAGGTCCAGTTTGTAATGGAATATAAACAGGAAACTTGAGAATATTTGGACCAAAAACTTGAGAGCAAAGACAGGGGAACAATCTCCTATAGCAACGTTGTCTTCTCTGAGAGGCCTAAAACCAAACAACTTAATTTAAGCCCTCTAAGACACCCATGACATTATGTCTGACACATCTGGATTTCAGGGTCTTATCTCTGAGCCCCTGAGAATATCTTGTAGCCTGTTTTTCACTCCTTGTGTTCTCAGGTCTAGTTTCCCTGGAAAACTCCCCATCTGCCCAAGGCCTTTTCCCAAGGGAACTGGAGCTTTCACTCTGCTCTATTGCCAACTGATAGATGTCCTCCAGTGGCACACCATTCAGGAATGCTGCGGATGTTGCCATTGCCTGGTTGAAGCTGAACACGTAAGTCCAGTCTAGCCATTTGATATGCCAGGTAAATAACTGACACAATCCAAGATGCTAGCCATTTAGTGGAGGCCCATGGTGTGCTTGTGGTGCTTTAAAAAGAGCCTAGGTGTCTACTAGGCTTGTTTGATAAAAAAAAAGATTCAAAACTCATTTTGGATGTAGGGGGCTGGTGGTTCGATTCTAAAGTCAATTCCGATTTTCACAGGAAAAAAATTCAAAACTTTTTGAAACTTCCAAGACTTCCAAATTCTTCTTGAATGGTTTGAAAGTGTTATTTCCTGTTTCATTGGGCGATCTTTACTTTGAAAGTGTTTTACTCCAGAA